AAAATTCGGGGAGGATCACCCAGCAGAAAATTGGGGGGTCTGGAGTTCAACCTTATATATATATATATATATATATATATATATATATATATATATATATATATATATATATATATATATATATATATATATATATATATATATCAGTTCTTGAAGAACACATGGGTAAAGAATACAGTAATCCCGTCATGTCATTAAAAATTCAATGAAATGATTAAATGAGTAAACAAATGAATATCAATGTTGAATTTAGGACTCTTCATATCATAAACTCCCAAATGAATCAAAGAGATGCATATATGAATGGTGTGTGATGATTGATGAGAGAGGGAGAGAACGGGAAGCTGACCCGAGGGGAGAGAGGGGTGTAATGCATATGCGACGGGGCCCGGGAGCTAGAGCCTCATCCTCGCAAACATAAATAAATAGATTTATATAGAAGATACCTCTTGAGACATCTACCCCCATTCACTGAACGGGTCAAAAGGCTCTTGCTCCTGTGGCGATATCCAAGGCGCTGGATATGTCATGTTGGGGGACACGGTGAGGATGGAGATCTAGCTCCCGGGCTCCGCCTCATATGCATTAATGGACCGGCGTGTGTGTGGAGCAAGCTCTCTCCCCCCCAGCTTATGGAGTCAGCCTCCTCTCCCACACGTGCGCTCTTCTCAATATTCACGCTTGCGGCATTCTTTCATGCATCTCTTTGATTCATTTGTCACTTGTGTCCCCTCGTGCTGGTGTGTGTGTGTGTGTGTGTGTGTGTGTGTGTGTGTGTGTGTGTGTGTGGTGTGTGTGTGTTGGTGTGTGTGTGTGTGTGTGTGTGTGTGTGTGTGTTTACTAGTTGTGTGTGTGTGTGTGTGTGTGTGTTGTGTGTGTTTGTGTGTGGTGTGTGTGTGTGTGGTGTGTGTGTGTGTGTGTGTGTGTGTATACTCACCTAGTTGTGCTTGCGGGGGTTAAGCTCTGGCTCTTTGGTCCCGCCTCTCAACCGTCAATCAACAGGTTTAGAGGTTCCTGAGCCTATTGGGCTTATCATATCTACACTTGAAACTGTGGTGTGTGTGTGTGTGTGTGTGTGTGTGTGTGTGTGTGCTCACCTACTAGCGCCTGTATTGATCGGGTTAACTCTTGGGCCCTGCCTCTCTCCACTGGTCTCTCCCCAGAGACCAGTGGCGCCCTCTGGTCCCAACCGTCCCTTTCAGCCTCACAACACATTAACAACCGTCAGTGTGTTGTGGTGGAAGAAGCTGAATCAAACCTTTGGTCACTCAGACACCCAAGCTTGACTCATATGTATCACCCTGGCCAAGTTAGATTTATTATCTGCGTTACTGGGTCATGCAGCTCTCTGTTTATGCTAACTTGAAGTCATCTCTCTGTTTATGCTAACTTGAAGTCATCTCTCTGTCTATGCTAACTTGAAGTCATCTCTCTGTCTATGCTAACTTGAAGTCACCTCTCTGTCTATACTAACTTGAAGTCATCTCTCTGTCTATGCTAACTTGAAGTCACCTCTCTGTCTATGCTAACTTGAAGTCACCTCTCTGTCAATACTTAGTCACATGTCCATCTACCCACACTCATTACCACCCTGTATTACCGAAGTTGACTACCATCATACTATTTTTCTATAAAACCTGCATTTTAATATACAAATCCAGAGACAGGTTGTTCCTTTTTGCCGTCGCTTAATTTGGGACTCATTTGAAATGAGCTTTTGTACTTGCTGTAAAACATGATTTCCATTTAGTCTTTTATATCAAGGATGCTTTTGGTAATTTAAAGCAAGTCTTAGATTTGTATATATTTCCAAAGATCGGAAGTAACTGCAAAGGGCCTATTGGCTCATATTTCTTGATGCTTGACGTGACACTTGAACGCGTTTCGTAATAACTTATTACATTTTCAAAGACTTTAGTCCAAAGATCATAAACTCTTGTATGTAAGATGCACTTACGCCTTCACTCTGGCTTATATCAACGTCTTACGTAATATATAGTTGATAATGAGTCTAAGCTTATTTTTAATGTGGTAAGATATGATGGTATTGCATGTTTGAGAGGCCAGAACTCTTGTACTGGTCGGTATTGCGACGGACTCGCTCCTTGCTGGGTCATTGTTCGATCCCCGATGGTGCAAGTGGATAGGCACCGTTCCTTTACCCGCTTTCTCGTATCCCAGCTCCTTATCCTCATGTCCCAGCTCCTTATCCTCATATCCCAGCTCCTTATCCTCACATCCCAGCTCCTTATCCTCACATCCCAACTCCTTATCCTCATATCCCAACTCTTTATCCTCATATCCCAGCTCCTTATCCTCATATCGCAGCTAAATGCTATACAGATAGTAATTAGGCAGGATCCACATCGAGAGGGAATGTTTTAACCAATTTTAACTCGAATTGTTTTAGTCCCCCCCAAAAGGTTACACATAATTTTCCCATTTTCTTTTCGAGTAGGGTCTAAAACCTGAAAAACGTTTGCATCCTTTTACGTCACTATTAGTCTTTAATAACATATCTAAACTAATAAAAATATGAAATAAAATGTTGTTTTAGTGCACGACGTCATTATGGCATTAGTTTTCATACCGGCAGAGGTTGTAGATATAGTTTAGAGGGGGGCGATAATTTTGTGGTGATTTGGGCGCGTCGCGGGGTAAGTCTCTCAACACTGAATCAATATCAGAGTTCTGAAAAGCTCTTGTGGAGTGTGAACGGGCGCGCGTAGGATCGACCCGCCGTAGGCAGCCAGCGTCATAGCTGGAGTTTGCTCAGGGGCGTACAGCTTTAAGCTTGGGGGACAGGTGGGAGATGTGTGTGTGTGTGTGTGTGTGTGTGTGTGTGTGTGTGTGTGTGTGTGTGTGTGTGTGTGTGTGTGTGTGTGTGTGTGTGTGTGTGTGTGTGTGTGTGTGTGTGTGTGTGTGTGTGTGTGTGTGTGTGTGTGTGTGTGTGTGTGTGTGTGTGTGTGTGTGTGTGTGTGTGTGTGTGTGTGTGTATTTTGCGCATCTGAATGCCCCTTCAAAAACACTTCCCTGTCACAAGAAGTCAACTTAAGCCACTTCATAACACCTTGAGTGTTTGTCTTGAACACCTGTCTGAAGGAAGGAGTGCCAGGTTAATGGACAGTAAACGAGGCTCGGTACTTACGTTCTTAAGGACCATTAAGTGGTCGTAAAGGAAGGCGCACTCTGATTGGAAGAGGTCCCAGACCGCCTCCCGTCGCTTGGTCTCCGTCTTGTTGAGTGACGCGCGCACGTTTTCCCTTGCTATCTCCAGCGCTCTCTCCACGCCCGTCAACCCGCCGCCCATCTTGATGCTATTCCCGCCGCCCACGGGCGACTTGCTCAACGTCTTGACGGGCGTCGAGCGCTCGGCGTGAACTCTCTCGCTGAGTAAATTGAGTAGTCCGACGCGTCCGCGGTCAAGCGAGCGTTCACTCATCGTCCTCATGATGGTCATGGGATGCCGCTTCCTCGGTAACGGCGTCTCGCGGTCAAGGCACGACAGGGCCGACAGGCGGTCAAGTTTCTCGCGCCTGTCGACCGGGTCAAGTCGGGGTTCAGGCTTGGAAGGCGTGATCAGCAACGCCCGATCGTTAAGCGCCACCACAGGCGGACTAGGGATGCTGGACTCCTGCAGGAGAGGGGCGTCCTGAGACTCCGTCGGGGGCGGGGAGTCCGGACCTCCCTGGGGCCCGCCTTCCATAAAGGACACGAAGTCGGTCCAACACATCCCCTTGAACCTCGACAGCTGCTCGTCCTCGAACTCGCTGGGCTGGAGACAGCTGAGGACTTCCTCCAGTCCGCAGAGGGACTCGGACTTGGTGCGGCTCGACCGGTCAAACTGTGCCAAAGAGAAAAAGGTGAGAATTATAGTCCCAAGAGAAGGAAAAACGGTAACAAATAAAAAAAGTTGCGAAAACCTAGAAAAGATAAGAAAAGGAAAAGAATTAAGGAAAAAAAAAAGACCACAAAAGCCAGAGAAGTAAACAAAACAAAGCTATTACGAAACAAAATTATACATGTTATATATTCACAAAACAAGATTATACATGTGATATATTCACGAAACAAGATTATACATGTCATATATTCACGAAACAAAATTATACATGTTATATATATTCACGAAACAAGATTATACATGCGATATATTCACGAAACAAAATTATACATGTTATATATATTCACGAAACAATATTATACTTGTTATATATATTCACCAAACAAGATTATACATGTTAATTATAAATTCACAAGTCTAAAAACCACAGTTGCCTACTAACAGTTAAATTAGTCATTAACATAACAAGAAAAGCATTAGCATTATTAAATCTATTTTGCAACAATTAAACAAAATTAACCCCTCGTGCCTGAGGGCTGTTAAAACAGCTATATTATAAATATGGTAAGCCCATTTTAGTTGGAAATAAAGTTAAATTTAATTAGATTTATTTCATACATTCAAAAAGTAGGTCAATTAGATTGTAATAAATTAGATAAAGTAAGAAGTTTGGATAGTTTAATGTCTGGATTAATTACTGTTTGGATAGGTCACTGTTTGGATAGGTCACTGTTTGGATAGGTCACTGTTTGGATAGGTCACTGTTTGGATAGCTCACTGTTTGGATAGGTCACTGTTTGGATAGGTCACTGTTTGGATAGCTCACTGTTTGGATAGCTCACTGTTTGGATAGCTCACTGTTTGGATAGCTCACTGTTTGGATAGCTCACTGTTTGGATAGGTCACTGTTTGGATAGGTGAGGGAAGATAGTTTACATCAAAGCTAATCATTCTCAGTATAATTAAACCTTATTAGAAAAGAAAGAATTAAGTAATCAAATAATTTGTCAGGTCAAATGGCAGCATCTTGTTAAGGGTGTTCGCTATTCTATTCTATATTAATAGTTTGTCATTATATTTATAATTTCTATAATTGTCAGTCTTTATTCAACTGGTACACAGTAATATAAATTAACTGACAACAATGTCTTAATTAATTTGATTGTTAGAAACATCAATGAAATACGCCACTGATGAAATGGTGTATTAATTCATTGTTGTTAGAAATATCAATGAAATACGCCACTGATGAAATGACGTATTAATTCATTGATTGTTAGAAATATCAATGAAATACGCCACTGATGAAATGGTGTATTAATTCATTGATGGTTAGAAATATCAATGAAATACGTCATTGATGAAATGGTGTATTAATTCATTGATTGTTAGAAATATCAATGAAATACGCCACTGATGAAATGGTGTATTAATTCATTGATGGTTAGAAATATCAATGAAATACGTCATTGATGAAATGACGTATTAATTCATTGATTGTTAGAAATATCAATGAAATACATCACTGATGAAATGACGTATTAATTCATGAATGACTGAAATAAACCATTGACATGCTGAGGCGAGGCAAGGACCCACCAAGTGGCCTCAGTAGCCAAGGTGATGCCACTATTGACGTCGAATCAACGTCGAGACGTTGATTCGACGTTACACAACCATGTGTACTCAGTGATGAATAGTGTTTCTGTACCCACCAACGCCACAAAGTTGAAGGGATACAACCAGCTCCTCAATACTACTCTCATCACCTCAGAAGAAAATGAGCTTTATATTTATAGCAGAAAAGAGGAGAAAAAAGCCGAGATGACGCTGGTGTTTGTTCTATGGTCAAGGGAGCCGGACGGCCGAGCGGACAGCACGCTGGACTTGTGATCCTGTGGTCCTGGGTTCGATCCCAGGCGCCAGCGAGAAACAATGGGCAGAGTTTCTTTCACCCTATGCCCCTGTTACCTAGCAGTAAAATAGGTACCTGGGTGTTAGTCAGCTGTCACGGGCTGCTTCCTGGGGTTGGAGGCCTGGTCGAGGACCGGGCCGCGGGGACACTAAAAAGCCCCGAAATCATCTCAAGATAACCTCAAGATAGCCAAGATGGTCGAATTGATGCTGCGTTCTAGGGATGAAGTGTCTTCCTCTCTCCTTCCCCAGCCACTCCAATCAGGGGTTATCTTGAGGTTATCTTGAGATGATTTTGGGGCTTTAGTGTCCCCGCGGCCCGGTCCTCGACCAGGCCTCCACCCCCAGGAAGCAGCCCGTGACAGCTGACTAACACCCAGGTACCTGACTAACACCCAGGGGTCAAGGGGGGTCACACATCCCTTGACCAAGACCCTTCTTCACCCGGGGTCAGTGTCCACTGCCACTTGTTCGCTCACCATAGACACTAATATGTTTTTTTTCATATTCTAAAAGCCGGAAATAAGCTACGCTGAGTCAAGGGTCTCTCTTTGATCTCACCCACATGAGACTGGTCAATGGTTAATGGTTAATGGTCATCTATTGAGTAAAGGTGTCCTGAGCAGTTGAGTTAGATGGGACACTTCTGGCCCCATCTAAACCAGTTCTTTATGATAGACAGTCCAGTCAACTTAAAAAATTAGCTTAACTTCTGTCTAACTTAAGATCTACCTTCAGTACTAACTTGAAACCTACTTAACTTAAATTATAATTACATTGACATTTACTTTAAATGCTATTTTAAAAATCTGTGCAACTTCAATTCTAACTTAAAATGCTTTAAGTTAGGTTTCACAAAATTGTTTCACATTAATCTAGTGTAACTTAGATTCGACCTAGATTGAAGTTCGGCTGACTTGTGATGTCATTACAAGAGGCGAGCGAAACTTGGGCTGCTCTTGCCTGTAATTGGTCCGTTCACGCCTCGCCTCGCCCAATCAGGTACGCCGGAGTGTACGCCAGCCAATCACAGGCAGATATGGCGGGGGATTTGTTTGGGTAAGAGGTCTGGAAGGCAATCGCGTAGGGAAGGGAGTAGGTAAAGGGAAGGATATAAGGGGAGGGGAAAGGAGGGTGTAAAGGGTAAGGGGGTGGAAAGGAAGGAAGGAGGTAAGGGACAATAGAATGGAATGGGAGGAAGTAAGGGAAGGATGGGAAGGGGCTAATGGGTAAGGAAATGATAGGGAGGAGGGTAAGGGAAGATCGAGTGGGAAAGAGGGAGGATATGTAGGTGGGGAAGGGGGAGGATAACAGAAGGAGGTGGAGAGAAAGAGGCACCGTTAACGGGACGCACCAACAACGGAACGCCCCATCAACGGAACGCCCCATCAACAGAACACCCCATTAACGGAACGCCCCAACAACGGAACGCCCCATTAACGGAACGCCCCATTAACGGAACGCCCCATTAACGGAACGCCCCATTAACGGAACGCCCCATCAACGGAACGCCCCATTAACGGAACGCCCCATCAACGGAACGCCCCATTAACGGAACGCCCCATCAACGGAACGCCCCATTAACGGAACGCCCCATCAACGGAACGCCCCATTAACGGAACGCTCCATCAACGGAACGCCCCATTAACGGAACGCCCCATCAACGGAACGCCCCATCAACGGAACGCCCCATCAACAGAACGCCCCATCAACGGAACGCCCCATCAACGGAACGCCCCATCAACGGAACGCCCCATCAACAGAACGCCCCATCAACGGAACGCCCCATCAATAGAACGCCCCATCAACAGAACACCCTATGAACAGAACGCCCCATCAACAGAACACCCCATGAACAGAACACCCCATGAACAGAACGCCCCATCAACAGAACGCCCCATCAACAGAACGCCCCATGAACAGAACGCCCCATCAACAGAACGCCCCATCAACAGAACGCCCCATCAACAGAACGCCCCATCAACAGAACGCCCCATCAACAGAACACCCCATGAACAGAACGCCCCATCAACAGAACGCCCCATCAACAGAACGCCCCATCAACAGAACACCCATGAACAGAACGCCCCATCAACAGAACGCCCCATCAACAGAACGCCCCATCAACAGAACACCCCATGAACAGAACGCCCCATCAACAGAACACCCCATGAACAGAACGCCCCATCAACAGAACACCCCATGAACAGAACGCCCCATCAACAGAACGCCCCATCAACAGAACACCCCATGAACAGAACGCCCCATCAACAGAACGCCCCATCAACAGAACGCCCCATCAACAGAACGCCCCATCAACAGAACGCCCCATCAACAGAACGCCCCATCAACAGAACGCCCCATCAACAGAACGCCCCATCAACAGAACGCCCCATCAACAGAACGCCCCATCAACAGAACGCCCCATCAACAGAACACCCCATCAACAGAACGCCCCATCAACAGAACACCCCATCAACAGAACGCCCCATAAACAGAACACCCCATCAACAGAACGCCCCATCAACAGAACGCAAGGGACTTTGGCTGGTAGATTAATGAGCATTTAACCATTGTTTATGAGGACGAGCTGACGTTTGACTATACAGAATAGCTCAGTCGATTAAGGCAGCGTCTGGGATGTTCTCGGACGTAGGTTCGAATCCTCGTCACGGCCCTTGTGGATTTGTTCATACAGAGTAGTTAGTTAATAGAGTGCTTGAAATTATGACTCAAAGACGTGGATCATTCACATCCAATCGTAGTGTAAATACACCTAATTCAATCTAATCAAACCACCCAATCTAACAAAAGTCAAAATATGCACAAAACCAATCAAATCACGCCATCTACGATATCACAGCCCAAAGTATAACAATCTTTAGTATTTTGTAGAATTATTTCACAATAACGTGAAAAAATACTATGACAAAGTCTATGGAGCAGAACACAGACTTGAACTTAATTAACTTAACATTTTAACTTAATTAGCCAATTAATATTTTAATTGCCATGTGTAATACATACTGTATGCATAAACAGGAGAGAGTAAGGGGCAGCTGTGAGGAGAAACACCACATATAACTACATGACAACTGGAAGGGATATGAGGACAAGATGTGTTGAAATATGAAGATTTAAAGAAGCACTGGAACCATAGGGGATCGAGCGCCGAACCTGCAAGGAACAAGACCGTCGCCACACCGTACAGTCCAAGTATAATTTCAGCCATTTACGATAAGCCATCTATCACGCTACACATACATGCTAATACATATGATAAATATGTATAAAACACATATTCCTAAAATTTATGTACTTTTATGTACAACATTCATATACATAAAGCATATGAATGCTTATTGATGATTTGTCTATATATATATATATATATATATATATATATATATATATATATATATATATATATATATATATATATATATATATATATATTTATATATATATATGATTACGACAGTGTCAGACCACATAGGAAGAATTGAAACAGGAATTTCCTTAAGTACTTCCGTATTTAATACATCTTCATTCTTTCTGAAGATGTATTATTAAATACGAAAGTACTTAATGAAATTCCTGTTTCAATTCTACCTCCAAGGTCTGACACTGTCGCATTTTTCATCATGTGTTAATTTTCGTGATTTACAAACGACATAATTATATGTAAGTATAAGATATATATATATTTACTTACAAGTCTTAACAAGGACCAGGTGTTCTTGCCCTTCCTGTTGCCCACAGTATCTGTAAAACAATCACACGCTATACATCAATTACAAGATTTCCGTACATAGGAAAGGGTCGAGAACGAAAACAATACACGAAACGTACATGTTACAAAACTCAGCTCAAAGGTGTCCACTACGGGCTCACCATAGCCCGTGCTACTTGGGACTTTTTGTTCCAGGTAGCGAATCTTAAACAATAAAAACAACAGCTCAAAGATAATGACTCAAATTTGGGTCTCACATATGTTAATTACTGTTAATTATTCTCGCATGCAAATGTTATATTCTTTTATGGGTTACTTTGGTATTTTCTAGTGTGCTTTATTTCTTTATTATTCTATATCATTCGTCTAGTGATATGAGGAAGTTAAATTGTATTGATTTAAAACTTAAAATCCATTGGTTTGAGAGAGAGAAATGGTTTGTTATTGAAAATCAGCTGTGTTGCTTGGTCTTAAATGTTTAGTTTCAGAATGTTTTGTAATCTAATTGTAATGTTTTAATGTAATTATGTAATTTTTGTAATTGTTTTATTCTGTTATATTGAGAATGTCTCTCTTGTATTGACAGCATTAATGAATGATCATACAACCAGTGTTCCTATCGTCATATACCTTTTGTGTATAGATTTTGTTTGGTTGCATTTGTTGTAATATATGATTAATATATGTTAGCACTCATAATATGTATACAGAGTTGAGTATCCAGCGTCTCTGTGTATATACATTGAGTTTACCTCAGTCCTGGAATATGTTGGGGACGAAAGTATACATGCTGGTTGGTCAGTAAGCAATTGTGATAATTACCTAACCTAATCAACCCTCCAGAGGTTGATTAGGTTAGGTTAGGTTAGCCCAATATATCCCCCAACTAAACCAATGTTTTTTTTTATTTTTTTATGACTAAATTATACTTCCTGCTTAGTCAATAAGCAATTATGAAAGTCTTCATATCCCCCCTCCCCCTCAGAGAGCATTATGTATGATAAACAATTTTGTATTTAAGATAATTTAAAACCTTTGTGTTCTGATAAATTATTATGAGCACCGGAGTTCATTCTCTACTCATCAGCTCCGACCAAAATATATCGACCTTATATTTAAGCTATTCTTGTTCAAGTTCAAGTTCAAGTATGTTTATTGAGATAAGCAATAAATACATCTCAAAGGGATAGAGTAGCTTAGGCTATTTCTACCCCCCTTAGCTATTCTTGTCTTAGTTCCTAATGAACATGAACAAAGAAACATGAACAACTGGTGATATTAAGATGGAACACAAATTTCGTTTTAGGTACGACTATGACAGGTTAAGGAACCTGTTCTTAGCCTGCCGTAGCCTGCAGGAACCTGAAGCAGGTTCCTGCAGGTGGGTTTAGGGAGCCGGCTGCCCCAACAGGCTCAGTTCCTGCCCAGAATCGGAGAAGGAACCAAGGTTTTTAAAGGTTGTTAAATCCAAAACCTTTAAACACTCATTGTATTAACCCATATACATCTTGTAACTTTTAAATATCTTATAAAGCACAATAATACATTAGACAAAAATATGTACCGTATACAGGTGATGAGTCACAATAACGTGGCTGAAGTAAGTTGACCAGACCACACACTAGAAGGTGAAGGGAAGACGACGACGACGACGTTTCGGTCCGTCCTGGACCATTCTCAAGTCGATTGTGAATGGTCACAATCGACTTGAGAATGGTCCAGGACGGACCGAAACGTCGTCGTCCCTTTTTTCACCTTCTAATATGTGGTCTGGTCAACAAATATGTACTGTACGTTAATATGTATGACTTCCTTTTTAGGCAGATTTCCTTAATCAATAATTTTTGGATATATTTTCTCTGCATTGACATATCAGCTCAATTCAACATCTACATGTCGAATCATCCAACATTTTTTATATACCGAATTCTAATAAAAACTGACTGATATTAAACAATAACTTAAGTTACCATTCAAATATGTAAATATATTGACAACATAATTCCCGCAAAGATGCAGAAGAAAAGGAACTTCTTAGTTAACAAGCAGAGTCTTGAAACCTAAGGCCAAATCTGCCTAAAAAGCACAATATATATATATATATATATATATATATATATATATATATATATATATATATATATATATATATATATATATATATATATATAATATATACACATATAAGAAAATATTATAGTGTTCATTGAGAATCCATAAGGTCTTCTCTGAATACTCTTTATTTTCTTCTTCGAGGCTATGGGTCCCTACAATCGCACCAGAGGTGGTACCAGAGGTGTGTGTGTGTGTGTGTGTGTGTGTATGTGTGTATAAAGTACATATAAGGTGCAGGAGAAGGGCAGAGTCACACTAACCAGATTCAGTGACCGCTAAGCTCTGCGTAGACCCGTCCAGGTCTCCAGCTGTTAGGAGAGAACGACACAGTGATTAACGTTACATATTAATGTGTGTGTACATGAACACACTGAATTATAGTAATTAATAATAATTATTATTATTATTATAGTTGTTGCTGCTGTAATTATTAAATGATTATACTGATTTGAAGATTATATTCCAAATATTTTTTTATTGTTAATACTGGTAATATTATTCTCATTATTGTTGGGAAAGGAAAGTTTGCACTTAAAATTGACAAGTTTCTCATTCCTCATATTATGTGTGTTGTAATTTGTGAGGAGTCATAGGTAACTGTTCCTCATCTCTTCCACATTTGGTGTTTGTTTTCTCTTATTCTCTCTCATTCTCACCCCTCTCTCATTCCCTCTCACTCATTCTATCTCTTACTTATAGTGAGTCACAGCTTCTCTCTCTCTCTCTCTGTCTCTCTCTCTCTCTCTCTCTCTTTCTCTCTCTCTCTCTCTCTCTCTCTCTCTCTCTCTCTCTCTTCTCTCTCTCTCTCTCTCTCTCTCTCTCTCTCTCTTTTGTACCCCTTTTTCTCATTCTATCTTTCACTTTTTAAGTGTTCTCATTCTCCATACCGCATAAATCACAAATAAATAATAAAAATAAATTGTTTATTTTTAGCCAACCTGTGTAATCACATATACGCATTCCTGGCATAATGAAGTGATTAAAGCTTACTTGAAAAGTCAGTAACAGTTTCCTGTCCTGATCAGAATTAGCAAACAATTGTT